CGCCCATCGCGGGAGGCTCTAGAGACCCTTTGGCGAAGGCACAGGGACAGTTTGCTGCAGCGAGTAAGCCGAAGGGCACATACCTGCTGCTGCTGCGGCTGCTGCTGCTGCCGCTGCCGGTGTACATGCTGTTGCTGCAAATTTGTCCACTTCAAACGTTGCTGCTAATTCTGCTGATGCTCAAGTCACTTGCAGCGGGTGTCGTTTCTAGTGTTTGCGTTTGCTGCTGCTGCTGGTGCTGCTGCTACTGCTGCTGCTGCTCTTGTTGTGGCTTGTACAGGCTGAGCTGTCAGCTGCAGCGATGGCACCACTGCAACGGCTGCAGCTGTTGGACCTGCCATTTGTCATCCGAGTGCTGCAGCAGCAAATAGCGGAGCTGCAGCAGCAGCTGCAGCAGCAGCTGCAGCAGCAGCGCGTCTGCAACCCTGCTGCAGCAGACTTTTCCGGTCTCGCAGAATGCATTTGCTGCCTCACAAGAAACGCAGCAGCGCAGCAGCTGCTCCGCCAAACAGACACCGGGGGTCCCCGTAGCTCTTCACCTGCGTCTGCTGCTGCTGCTGCTGCTGCTGAAAGGCCACAGCAAAGGGATGCCGGGGTGGCCCCCCTGGGGGGCCCGCTGGGGGGCCCCCGGGGGGCCCCCCAGGAGGTCCCCCAGGGAGGGCCTGAGGTCCTGGGGCTTCATTTGCGACGGGCGCTGGAGTGGACAGCCGAGCTGCTTCCGTTGCTGCAGCAGGCCCAGTCCCAGGGTTTGCTGCAGCTTGTGAGCAGCAAGCAGCAGGCGCAGAAGCAGCTGCAGCAGCAGCAGCAGCAGCAGCGGCAGCAGCAAGAGCAGATTGTGATGGTTGCTTCGATTGAGGCTCTTCTGCAACTGCTGCAGGGAATTGCAGCTCTGCCGTATCTCCAGCGAGGGGCTGATGCCATGCTCGCTGCTTTGCTGCTGCTGCAGCAGCGCGGCAGCAGCAGCCAAAACCAGCAGCAGCAGCAGCAGCAGCAGCATAGCTTAATGTGCGACGCACTGCGTGCTGCAGCTGATGCTCTGACTGCCAATACATGGCCCCCTGCTGCTGCAGATAAGGCGCTGCGCCCAAGTGTCTCGTCCCCTCTGTCGCATCTTGCTGCTCTTGCTGCTGGAGACATCACCGACCCAGCAGCAGCTGCTGCTGCAACAGCACGCAGCAGCAGTGCTGCTGGCGCTGTCCTGGGAGAAATTGCTGCTGCAGGGACCCTCTTGCTGCGGCAGCTAGTGATGCCGCACTACTTCCAGCTGCAGCAAAGAGATTTCGTTTCTGTGGCTGCTTGGCACGTGGCTGTGCTGCTGCAGCCAGGAGCAGCAACAGCAGCAGCAGCTGCAGCAGCAGAGCACGTACAGGGGCTGCTGCGGGCCTTGGGAAGCCTCGCAGAGGCCCGTCGGGGCCAAACCCTAGCAAATGCGGACAAGGCTCATTTGGCAATCGTCATTAGGTGAGCTACAAACCCTAAACCCTAATTCCTAAACCCTAATTCCTAAACCCTAGCTAGTTAGTTCTCAGTGTTCAAGTGCTGCTAGACCTGCTGCTGGCGCTACTTCGCTGCAGCTTCTGCTGCGCCTGCTGCTATTGCGTCACTGTCGCTACTGCAGCAGCAGCAGCTGCTGCTGCTACTATCGCTGCTGCAGCTGCAGCAGCTGCCGCCGCCGCAACAGCGGCTGCTGCAGTTGCTGCTGCGGCTCATATTTCCGGTGGGCTTGGTGCTGCTCCGTGTGCTGCAGCTATATGCGGACGGATCTTCCCAGTGTCTGGCAGCAGCTGCCAGCAGCAGCGCAGCAGACGCTGAATCTGCTGCTGCGGTCACCCAGCTCTGGTTGAATGAGCAGCAGAAGCTTTTGCTGCTGCTGCAGCGGCAAAAGCTGCTACTGCTGCAGCAGCCCTTGATGCTGGCGAGGCAGCTCTGCTGCTGCTGCTCAGCAGTCTTTGGGGCT